TTCATCCGGACCATTTTTCAGGTACCATAACATTATACTTTAATACTTTGTATATCCACCTTTTGCCTTGATAACTGCTTTGATTCTTGCTGGCATGCTATCTATATACTTCTGACAGTCTTCCTTAGTGAAGGTAGCCCACTGCTCCTCGACTCTTTGCCACAAATCATGCACACCTTTTGCTTTGGTTGGGTAGGCACTAAGCTTCAACTTTAAGTGATGCCAGACATGTTCAATTGGGTTTAGGTCAGGACTTTGTGGTGGCCAACTATATGTCCAATCAGCATCAAACTTGTTGTCCTTAAACCACTGCTTTGTAACCTTGGCAGTATGCTTCGGATCCTTGTCTTGTTGAAAATAGATATCCTCAGTGCTGTAACCATACCATTCTAAAGTATCCTTGAGAGTGGTTTCCAGGATGTGAATGTAGTCCTCCTTCTTCATGGTACCATCAAAAATCTGACAAGCATAACCAGGACCATCGTACGTTATGCAACCCCACATCATAATACTCCCTTTACCATGCCTAACAGTTAAATCAAGATGATGAAATTGAAGTTCATCATCTGGCCGTTTCCAGTAATACCTTACACCATCCGAGCCCCAAACGTTAATTTTTGTTTCATCAGAGAATACCATACGTCTCCAATCGTCAGAGGTCCAAAACTGATGGGCTTTTGCCCAAGCGAGACGCTGTTTCTTATGCTGAGGCTTCAGAAATGGCTTCTTCTTCTTAATGCCCGATTGAAAGTTCATCATCTTTAGGATTTTAAGGCATGCAGAGTAACCAATGTTGTATCCAACACCTTCCAGATACTTATGAACGTCCTTGGCAGTTCTAAACTTACCCAAAACCAGCTGCTTGCGGATGTAACTACGTGCAGTAGTGCTTATAATAGGCTTGCGACCAGGTGCACCACAAGTCAAATCGGGAAAAAACCTCCTTTTATAGTCGCCAATGGTGCTTTTTTTTAGACCTGGAACACGTTTCATGATGGTATAGTACGAGTGACCAGCCTGCAGTAACGACTTGATGTTATTTTGGACGTCTAGAGGTAATGTTCGAACCATGGTTGTTAGGTGAGATGTAAAAAAAGAATGTAGATGAAAGGTGGAACCAGAACTGAAAAAGTGAGTTCTTTTATATTATTGTAGGTGTAACAAAGATAGATACAACTCATTAGTACATATTATGACTCACTCTGACCCATTTAGAAGTAGTAACACAAGTCTTTTTAACGAGATTAGCAAAATTATACCTACCCTGAAAAATGGTCCGGATGGATACCTTCGCTGGGAAATGATTTTGAGGAACCGATATCCAGTAAAATTCCTTCAACTTCTTACACATAATAAAACAACGTTTTTTCTCTCTATCGTTTTTTATTTCACGTTAATTGACCCAGAATTCATCAAGTAACACCTAAAAAACGTAAAAGTTGTAAAACATCCGGACCATTTTTCCACCAACTGTAGTTTCCAAGATATGGATGTAGTCTTCCTTTTTCATTGTTCCATCATAGATTTGACATGCATAACCAGGTCCATCGTAAGTAATACAGCCCCACATCATGACACTTCCATTACCGTGCTTAACAGTGAGGTCAAGGTGATGGAACTGCAACTCATCATCTGGCCTTTTCCAATAGTACTTTACACCATCAGAGCCCCAAACGTTGATTTTTGTTTCGTCTGAGAATATCATACGTCTCCAATCATTCGTAGTCCAATACTGATGAGCTTTGGCCCAAGCTAAACGCTGTTTCTTATGCTGAGCCTTAAGGAAAGGCTTCTTTTTTTTCTTTGCCGACTGAAAGTCCATGGATTTCATCACTTTTAAGCATGCAGAATAGCCAATATCATGCCCAACACCAACCAAGTACCTATGTACATCCTTACCAGTCCTTATATTACCCAAAACAAGCTGCTTTCAAATGTAGCTACGGGTTGTAGCACTGATAACAGACTTGCGACCAGGTGCACCGCCTACGACATCAGGGAAAAACTTCCTTTTATAGTCAGCAATTGTGGTTCTCTTGACTCCAGGAATACGTTGCATGATGGCAGAATACGAATAACCAGCTTGCAACATGGATTTGATATTGTTTTGGGTGTCTATGGGAAGGGCGCGAGGCATTTTGGAGATAATAAAGAGTTATTTTAAAGAGAGAAGGATAAGGTCGAAAAAGGAGACAAACTGTCGTATATTTATACTTTTTTATGACCTGCGGAGTTGCGAAATGTCATCATTACGCATTGTGAGTCATCTTGAATCATTTAGCGTCGCTAAGTTTGTTATTCCGATGAGATTGCATAAAATTAGATGAGGTGGAAAAATGGTTCGGATAGACCTATCAATTTAATTTCACCATTGTAGCTCCGATATCAAATCATATAACCTATAAACCTAACAGATGATAAAGCACAATTTTAGCTATCTGCTGAGTATTTCCTCGGTTTATTTGAATGACAACTCATCGAGTAATGGTTGATTTAGTGTAAAATCGAAAAACATCCGAACCATTTTTCCACTAACTGTATGGCGTTGTCATAAGTATGGTTGTATGTGCGGAAAAAGTCGTGTTTCGGCTCTTAAGGGTTCATTTTTTGAAGGATCAAGACTTCCCTTACATCGTCAGATCCACGTCTTATATTATTGGCTTCAGGGCGCTCCTAAGACACTCATTCATGGCATAACTCATATACATATGCGTACAATTAGCAGTTTGATATCCAACTTTCACCAGATTATGCAGTACGACTTTATTGTTTCAGAGGAAGACTTGGATGACGACTCTGATGACGACGATACGATCGACTTAGAAGCCCTTCCACCAAATGAGCACCATTTACACAATAAGCCTCACAAAATCGGTAAATAGATAGGATTGAAATTGCATGTATATTACCGTCAGTAAGAATGCTCAATTTTAACTGTTTTATGTACATTTAGGAGGATATAACGTAAATGGCGAGCCAATCATTGTTGAAATTGATGAGAGTAAGTTTGGAAAGCGGAAGTACCACAATGGTCATCGTGTTGAAGGCGTGTGGGTGGTTGGTGGTGTCGAAAGAACTGAGGAAAGGCGTGTATTTTTGGTTTCTGTTCCAGACAGAACAACAGAGACTATGCGTGCAATTATACGTCGCTATGTAAACAGAGGTTCCATCATTTGCACAGACTATTGGAGATCTTACTTATGTATTCCTGGTCTACGTCGTAATTTCATCCATAATCGAGTTAATCATTCTGAAGGCTATATTGCAGAGGATGGCACACATACAAATACTATAGAAGGTATTCACATTCAAAGAAGAAGTCTTAATACAGAATGTTGTACTGATCCTTGACGTTTTCAATTGACAGGTACCTGGTTTGGTATAAAGTTGCGTTGCCGTCCTAGAGAGCGTACAAAAAGAAGCATGCCATGGGTCTTGTTAGAGTTTACCTGGAGACGCAAATATGCTAGTGACCTTTGGGGTGGTTTTTTGAAATCACTTCGAGAAGTTGAATATGATCGTCGCCAGAGAGATCGTCCATTTCTTACTGAATTAATAGTGGAGGAAGACGAAGACGGAAATGAAAATGAAGTTGACGAGACCATAAATTTGCATTTGGATTAGCACGTTTGTGTACAATAAATCTTAACTGAATAATAAACCTTTGTCTGTTGTCTTTAACGCGATTAAAGATTATCAATGTCCTAAAGTATAGCAATTATTGCGTGATATTTTACACTTGATGCTGAGCATATAATACTTTCTTCTACATCCACCCAGAAACACACTAAAAACAAAGTGATTTCAAGAAGGAACGTTCTGTAACAAGAAATCAATAGAAAATAAACGAACCACATCATTTTCGCGAATGCAACTACTTCAATCGTATTGGAACAACGCTGATATTTAGTTTACAGCTAAAACCATCAAAAACTGAAGAATGCAGCGGTAAATTTCCGTCATTCGAACTGTGACGAGTACAACAAGAAAATTTGAATAATTTGAGGACATTTTCGTCTAAAGCCAGCGAACTAACCATCGAAAATCAGTGATATGGTATGCATTCGAATTAGAAAAACCAGGAGAATCCAAAAAATTATGGTTACACAAATATTCAATCTCCGAAATTTCCTAAAAAGGAGATTTCGGATTTGTGTTCAGGAGCGAATTTTAGGCGGTGGCCATAAAATGCCAGAGCTCCGAAGATGATGCGGAGGTGTGCAGAGTTCCAAGATTGGTCAGGAAATAATCGACGATGCTACTGAGAATGCGTCCCTGTCGAATATCAGAGTAGGTGGGTATACCACGGGCCAAATGGTTATTCAGAATTATCAGGTCATGTTGTTCACAGTAATCAAGCAGCACGTCACCACGGTTGTTTGTGATGGAATCACCTGAGAAAGCACCAATGCGGGCATTGAGATCACCACAGATAATGGTATCTTCTAGCAGAGGTAGAGATTCAAGGAGAGTGGAAACTTCAGCGTTACGTACGTTGGCTTGATCAGGAGGAATATATAAACACAGTAAACGAAGAGAGCCTAATTGGATAGCTAAGGTGTATTCGTTGCGAATAGGGATTTGGTATACTGGTAAAGAACAATGGGGATTCACAAGGCAGGTTACTCCACGAGAGCCACGGTATTCCCCTGCCACAGGAATACCAGGTAGGTGAAATTGCTGCCAATGTGTTGGAAGTCGACAAGGAGGGAGAAGCCAGGTCTCTGTGATGAAGATAACTGTAAAGTTTTGGCAATGTTGTAGTAGATCATCAACAGAGCTTTGCTGCAATCCACGAGCGTTCCACAGTCCAATTGTTATCATCTTTTGTTGTCGTTGGGGCTGTTGAGAGAGGAGAGAGGAGGTGGCGGGGAAGGAGATGGGGCGGGAGGGTTGTTGGGGGGTATCAGGTGGTGTGGTATCCGATGAGTTATAATGGTCATTGACAACTATGTCAACAACCATTATAATCTCATGTCAATGTCGCCGCCTTCAGGTAGTCTGAAGGCAGCTCCAGGATCATCACGGTGACGGGGAGTGCGGCTAGGGCCAAGTTCAGCGATCAAATCGGAGAGGTCGTCATTGCTAATCCAGCCTTCTTCAATGAAGTAGCGAGCAACTGGGATCATAGGGCGGTTGGAGACATGGAGGAACGTCAAGGTGCGGATACAACGGCTATGGTTAATTTCCATAGCGGCACCTTCACGGTCAGCAGCTGTCATGGTAGCAAACTTGGGATCAGTGGGGTCGAAACCGCCAGGGATGGGCTTAACATTGGCTTTAGCCAAGGTGGCAAGGAGTTGGTCATGATACTGGGCATGAATAAGGAGGCCAAAGACATTGCGCGCAGGGAAAATGATATCCAAGATACGGCCAACTTCGACACCGATGGCGCGAAGATTGCCACGAATCTGGATGTAGTTATAGCGGCGGGAGCGGTGGAAATAGAGGTATTTGAAGCCCTTAGGGCCTTCGGGGAGCAGGTTGAAGCCACGAGAGATGGCAGCCACTTTCTGTGGTGTAGGGAGACGGGGACGGCGAGGGGCGCGTGTAGCAATTTGAGCCCAATTGATTGGGCTATCAGTGGTGTGGGGAGCAGGGGCGGAGTGCTGGAGAATTTGGGGGGTAACGGCGGCGGAGGGGGGAGCAGAGGAGCGGAGTAATTGAGCGCGTAGCTTCTGGTTTTCTTCTTCCAGGGTCGTAACCTTGGACTGAAGTTCCCCATTTACTTTTTCAAGTTGAGCTAAACGCTCGAGGAGGGCAGCATGTTGTTGAAGCTGGGCTTCAGCGGCAGTCATACGAGCATTTTGCTCAGCGAAGGCTTTTGAATGGCAGCGAGGTCCATTGGGGCGGTCATGTTGACTGTACAGGAGATGTTGGATTTTGCAATTGACAATGGCAAATTGCAAATGGTAAGATCTTGCGGGTTCTGTTGGAAACTGGAGTATATACTAGTAGATGGGGTACTAATCAGACTACTATATACTTTGCTTGCTGTTGCTTATCCTAGTTGTCGAGTATTATCGTCTTTTTACTATTGTTGTTGTTCACGTGACTTGTCAGATGTAACGGTGAATTTAAATAAAAAGATTGTAAACCGAAAGAAAGGTGCCTAGCTAGCTCAGACTAAAGTTTTTGTTTTATTAAGATTAACGCATGGCGATCTCGAGATCTTAAAACTGCAATCTTATAAATGGACGGTGGGATTACTTGAAACTAAAAAACTAACTATAGGACTTCGTAAAAGTTAGAAAAGTGCAAGGAAAAGAAAAGAGAATCATTGTTAAATCTTCTAATCGCTTCATGACCATGACTTCCCTTCCATCGTGCACTTTCAGGGTTTTAGCAGTGGAGGGTAAGACAGAGGGTACAATTCACAGATTAGAGATCGAACGGCTCATGAAAGTCATCGAGTAAGTCGATAGATGGGACAGCAGGAGGATTTAAGTGAAGCCAGACAGCTCCAGGATCGGGATCAGTTGAGTAATCCCCTTCAGGATTACAAAATGTGTCATAGGTCCACAATAATCGGCAGAGGGTAACCCAATAGGAGGGACATGTGGCGGAAGCTGAGGTGGGAAGGTCATTTAGGGCGTGGTCGACACGAGTGAGGTTAGTTTCCATTGGTGCAAGTGGAAGGTTGAGCCATGTGTCAAAAGAGATCTTGGGACAATCTGTTGTGAGATGACGACGGGAGGTATGATCAAGCCCACATGGGCAAGATTTGGGTTTACCAGGAATCCATCCCATACGCCAACGAACGAGACGGCTGCGATCAGAACGAGAAGCTGGTAGGTACATAACAGGGTCGATACCCAAAGCAGGACGGCATGCTTTAATTAACTTTTTGTCAGTTGATTGAAGAAAGGCATGGAAACATTGTTGACGGTAATTGTGGAGCCACTTGTTGAGTTGAGCTCTGGTGCTGGAAAGTAGGGTATCAGGCATAGCCCTCATGAGAGGGAAGTTACGCAAAAGTTGCAATGAGGATGGGAGCAATGCCAATATAGGGACACCGATCTGATATAAAAGATATAAAAATTCTAAGCTCAGTGATACTAGTCCCGCGTCACAGAGCCAATCTATGTTGGAGAAACAGTCGCTCAAAGATTGACCAAATATGGTATACGTAGTTTGAGTTTCCAAGTTTTTGGTGATGAACATCTTTAGTGTAGTGGTTAAGAACACTGCCAGCGAAGCTGGAAACCGGTGTTCGACACCTGCTCAATTCTTTTATTTTATACTATTTGCGTGAGACGTTTCCAACTTACCTTTTTTGTAATTGTCGCTATATTAGTTATACATCGCCTGTAGCCAATCCAAACTCTATTTAATGAGTCGCTAATATCTACAGAACCATATGAGACATGAAATTAATCACCAAAGTGGAGTAGCAGGCAAACTATTCTAATACTTTATTTTTATTAATCAGAAAAGTTATCTGTTTCGATATTATTTGATCTGTGCAAAATAAAAGGGGGATTTTCTTCATCGACTTCTTCACTACCCTCATTATCGCTTTCATCAGTTTCTTCTAATGCTTCTTCCAAGGAAATAACTTCTGTTATAAAGGGCGCATCTCTTTGCCTACGGTCAAATTCTACTTCACGGAGACATTTGAGCATGCCGCCCCAGAGATCAGCGTTGTACTTACGTCTCCAGATAAACTCTAAGAGGACCCAAGGCATGTTTCGTCGAGTTCTCATGCGTGGGAAGCATCTGCACTTGATCCCATACCAAGTACCTAGAGGGAAAGAGATTGTTATATAACTTTGTCAATACACTTGTTCTACTTGGAAGTCAACAACGATAGTGTACTCGAACTTTTACCTTCAATTGTATTGGTATGGGTACCTTCGTCGTTAACGAAGCCCTCCTCATGATTCACACGTCGATGTTGTAAGTTTCGATCCATTTCACTAATACCAAGATATGCTCGCCAGAAATCCGTATGAATGATACTACCTCGGTTAATGTATCGGCGGATAACCCTTCCAATTGTTTCCGAGTTTCGATTTGGTACCGTGACCAAGAAAACACGCCTTTCAGAGGTTCGCTCCACACCACCAACAACCCAGACGCCCTCAACCCGGTGGCCTCGATGGTACTTTCTCTTTCCGAACTTACTCTCATCAATTTCTACGATGATTGGGTTCCCATCACGGTCGTAACCTCCTACCGTATACCAGTATACAATAAGTAAATGTTAATAACCCAATATACTGTAAAGATGAAGTTCACGTGTTTGACAGCTTACCAATCTTGTTTGGATGATTGTGAAGATGACGTTCCTGGGGAGGCAAGGCTTCCAAATCGATGGCATCATCCTCGGCTGGGTCCTCATCTAAGTCATCGTCTTGACGAATGAAGTCGTACTGCATTAACCGATGGAAACTATCCACAACGCTCTTCACGGTATCATGGTGAGCGCCAGTAAAGAGACAAATGGAAGCTTTTGAAGCACCACCTAACCAGAAGTAAAGGATTTGCAGCTGTATTTCTAGAGCAATCTTGTTTTCGGAGAAAAACGACCCATGAAGAACACTAGTTCTCGATTTATTACAGCATCCGTATTTGTGGCAACGCCAAACGTATCCACGATCTGCGTTGTATGTCAAAGTCATTCGATTATTGTTGACACAATACATGGGATGCTCATAGTCGTACAAAATGCGATTGCGCATCAAAAACCTATAAGCATTGAGCCCACGTACAGTAAACAAAAAGGTCAATATTTTTAAGATACTGTACATACAGTACAATTAGCATACTATATTACTTACTTGACAGCACTATCGTAATCATGAGCTCGCTCCATTAGTTGACTAATGGTGATCATGCGACGTTGAACCTTGCGTGACCAAAGCTCGATTGTATCAATCTCTGAAAGACTTATAGGTCTGGGTAACGGGACTCCAGCGGCCGTAGTAATCATCTCGTCCAAGTTGCTGGCTGTAGACTCGCCTTCTGATTCAATCTCTTCAGCAATTGAAGTTGACGAGTGCTCACTGTCTTCGTCTGATAACATGAATGACGAAGCAGAATCAGAATCAGATGAGATACTGATAACTGTTCTCATCGAAACGTCGTCTTGTCCCATGCCGCTGGTCTGAAAGGAGACAGTAGCTTGAACATTCGTTACACTGGTGGTTGCGCTGCTACGGGTAATGCGGCGGAAGTTGTTGTTGCTGGACATACTGTTGTTATGTTAAAATGACTAAATTTGCCGAAATATACCGTGCATTCAGTCGAAAATATACATGTACACGATATTGTCTATTGTTGATATACCGTACCTTTAAAGATAATTATATTAAGCGAGGTGTCTCGATAATAGAAACTGAATAGAGTACTTCTACGATCAAAAGTGCAGTAAAACACAAAAAGAATCATTCAGTTAGCTTATATATTCGACGATTTATAAACGACTGAAGTTAGCTATGTACTTACAGTAAAGTGCGTTGGAAAGAAAAAGAAAACTGAACATTCAAAGAAAAACTTTTTCTTTATTGCTCGTGGCTAGTTGTTGTGACTTTTTTTCGTCTTATATGCTTTGAAAAAAAGATGCCCCCACCAGGATTTGAACCCGGACCAAAAGTAACGGATGCAGCGTTACTAACGACTGCACCACGATGAAACAATTTTGTCATTAATTACGTTAGAACTATTTTTGGGGAAATTTTGCATTTTTGCGACTTTAAACAGCGATTTCTCCAACATAGATTGGCTCTGTGACGCGGGACTAGTATCACTGAGCTTAGAATTTTTATATCTTTTATATCAGATCGGTGTCCCTATATTGGCATTTGGCCATGAGGATGTAATTGGTAACGAAGCTGAAAGTAGTGTCAAAAGGCTATCAGCAGGGAGATATTGGGATCGATGGATGTATTTGGCACGAAGAGCGTCAGCTCGGAAGCGCATGTCAGGCAGGTTAACAAGATGTTTAAAAACTGTGGTTGAGGCTGCCCGATGACCACCAAAGATCATTCGAAGACAAGAATCTTGAGTTTTTTCGAGGGCTTTGTAATCGATTTTTTTCAATTGAGTAATGGCAATGCCATATTCCATTTTGGGCCGGATGAAGGTGGCATAAAGTTTAGTAGAGAGCAAGAGATCAAAGCCGGATCGATTGGCACCAATTGCATTGAGCTGTGACATTTGCATAAAAGTACCTGGTTTGCTTTTATCGACGACTGCGGAGGGGCATATGCCATTACGACGGAAAGGCACGCCTAAATAGACGAATTCATCCACAATGGGAATGTCAACACCATAAAGGGAAAAGGAAGAAGGACAATTAGCAGGCTTGATGACAGCACATTTCGTGGGGGACCAGCGGTAGCCCAAGCTCAAAGAATGGGAGGCAGCCAAGCGCAACATGGAAGTGACTTCGGTGGGAGTACCAATAATGGCAACATCGTCTGCATAAAGTAGGCAGTTGATGGCCGTTGTTGTAGGAATGGCAGTTGAGGAAGGTGGATCCATGAGCCACGGCATGGGTAAAGCCGTTGAAGGGGATGTTGATTGCACAGTTGGTGTATGGGGACCGGCAAGCCTAGCTAGCTCAATCGGTAGAGCGTGAGACTCTTAATCTCAAGGTTGGGGGTTCGAGCCCCCCGTTGGGCTTTCTTTTTGCTGATTGTACTTACAGTATTGACAAAAGAAGATAACTTTGTCGTGCACGAAGCTACGATAAGACTAATACCACAAAGGTAGTACTGTATTATTGTCAGAAGTGGCTGTCGTATTTGAGGGTAGATGATATACAAATATTAAAGATATAATTCACTTTATGAAGGATAAAGATGAATTATACAATATTGCAAACCAGAAATAATTAGAAACTACATAAACTCTAATATATGAGTACCGTGAATTAAGTGTTGTGTTTAGTTGACAGCATCATATGAGATGTGGAGAACTCGTATACAAATTATACAAGATCCTCACACCTCATTACTGCTGAAATAATATAAAGTAGAGTAGGAAACGAATATAGAATAAGTGATGATTCTTATACGAGATTAGCTACCTCGTATAAGGCTGAACAGGTTGTCATTTAGGATATATAGTTTACTTATTTTGCTATAATACGTTACTATATGACATAGGATATATAGTAGAATTAATATATGGACATGCAGGATGTATTGATTCAACACCAAGGTATAATAGGTTATAAGTACTATTCTCTGCCTTCGGCATAAAGAATGATTACAAGATAATAGGTTGTGATCATCCTTTACAATAACTGTTCACTCAACTCAAACACCACGCACGAATACTATTTTCCTAATTAATACTATTTTCCTGCAAGCAGTGCTACATAATGGTTAGCACGGGAAAATAGGTTAGTTGCATGATCACTAGATCAAGCCATGGATACGTTTACAAGTCCACCCGCTCCGGGTAGATGCGTAATCTCCTCAAGGGAGAATTCTATTCTTTTACGGTTCAGAAGACGTACGTCTTCTTTGAGTAGAATAACTCAGCTGCCAGTTTCTAGGTTCCGCAATATGAAGAAGATATTTAAATTTTTGCAGTAGATATTTTTCTTCTTTTTGAACTTGACTTGATTCAAAATAAAACGTACTAGTTTGATCTCGTTAACTTTTTATTGTTTTAACTAAGTGATATTTAACTCCACAAGTCGTCAAATACCACAATTTTTTTAACGAAGAACCTTACTGTATCCAAAATGTCTACTGCAAGCAACTACGAACCTTCTTCTCCTTCTCCTGCCGACCTCTTCGGTTACGACAGCTCTCTGTCCGAAGACACAGAGATGCATGATGCTGCTGTTCTTTCTGCCCCTTCTGCTCCCACTGTTTCTGGTGTTGGATCGTCCCAACAGACGGTTCATAAAACCATGGGACATGCAGAAAGCATGCACCCTTCTACTTCTGCAATTAATTTTGCATATAATGATGTTGGCAATGAAACTAATTCGCATCATAATAACAATAGCATTAACATTAATGCCCCTGAGTTGGATGGTCATAATTTGACTATCATTTCAAACGATGTCTTGATCGCACGGTATAAGACTCAAATCAACCAGTTGCACTTAAAGTGTTCAACGACTTCTGATGCCTCCGAAGTCCAGAACATGCGCAACACCATCAATGAGCTTCGTCAATTGATGGAGGATTTGATTAACGAGGGTAAGCCACCTCATAAAAATTTTTCAAACCACGGCACTGCGCAATCAAAGTATGCGCACCCGCACATTCCTCTCAGGGAAATTCCTCTGTTTCAGTTGGTAGACGACGCGCCTGAGGTTAAAACCGAAGGTAGGATCTCGTACGAGAACGCTGAGTCATTCACTACGGCCTTTGAAACAATTTTACAAAGCCATGATTGTGATCTGAATGCATGCTGGCGCAAGTATTTAGTATCGTCATTCTTGGTTAGTAAAAATAGCATTTACAGCCGTTGGTATGAAACCAATATCAACCCCAGGCCTGCAAAGACGAACTGGTCAAGCATTAAAGAAGCCATCATTGAGCGCTTTGGGTACCTTTCAACACCCAGTAACAAAATAGAAAATTTTGTTACGATGCGCCAGTCGAAAACTGAGCTTCTGCGCGACTATGTGGATCGCTATAGACAAGCCATTCACCGTCTTCCTGGCGCCCCTCTCCCCAACTCTGTTGTTGCTGTTGCTTTGTTCGTCGAGTCTCTTTTGCCTATGACGAAAAAAGAGGTTAAAAAATCGTTGAAGAAACACAACGATAAGGGCCCCAAAGCGACTTATTACCCTGATACGCTAGAGGACGTATATAAACACATTGAAGTTTATTACGGTCCTATTCAGGAAGCCCTTTACCATGCCTTGGCTACCGACGTTTCGCCAAAAAAGAAAGTTGAGACGAGCCATAGTGGCATTAAAAGAAAACAAACCGGTTCTGAAAACGATTTTCAGAAAAAACAACGTCCCGCTCCCGCTAATGGTAAAAACCTTTGCAATTATTGCAAAAAGGAGGCATTCTCCTACGAGCACTTAAAACGTTGCATCGATTATTTGCACAGTGATAAATATAAACAGTATTTGATCAAGCAAAACGATCGCCGTCATAACAAGGTACAGTTACATGTTTCAGAAAAGAACAATGAAAACTTTAACCTTAATGAAAATGGAACTGATAAGATTAATATCTTCTATAGTAATCTCGAAAATGAAATTGCTGAAGGCTTTGCCAGTGAAATTCTCACTGATAATAAGTTTAATTCTACGTTTATCATTCTAAATTCAAACCCTTGCCATCAGATGATAACATTAAAAATAAAAATTATCTGTTTGCTAAGGACAAAAACCAAAATATTGTCTGCTTTCATGTTGCTGACTTGACAGAAAAAGAGGTTCAGAACATGACACCTTATTCTCCTGCTATTACCATCAACAATGAACAATTAATTGGTATGCTCGATACAGGTGCTCAAAAATCAATAATCAATGAAAACTTCGATTTTGCAGATAAATCTATATTTGACAAATTAATTCCTACAAAGGGTAAGATTACATATGTGGGCAAAAACGTTTCGTCTGAACGTAAAGGAGAAACGCAACCACTCGAAGTCAAATATAGAGGTAAGCCCGGATTTCTCCATTCCTTTGAGGTTATGGAAATGCCTGAAAACATGAGCAAATTACCGGTACTCTTGGGAAGAGATATAATTCCTAAACTTGGTATCAGAATAGAAAATATTGCTTTTTCTTTCGAAGACAGAGAAGAACTTATTTTCGAAGATTCCGTTAACCACGAGGTTTATATTCCAAATGTTAGCAAATCATGTTCTGAACAAGAGTATGAAGATTTCATGAAGGTACTTCAGCCGTATATTAAGGCGAATGCAGAAATCAATCTTCACAATTTATGTCCGATTCCTGAGGCAATCGTACATTTGAAAACAGCTCCTAATGCAGTGGCTTACACTAGACAGTACCCTGTCGCTTATGCTCTTCAACCTGTTGTAAGAGAACAAATTCAAAAATGGGCAGATGATAGAACTATTGAACCTGCTAAACCATCCGGTTTTCAATAGTCCTCTGACCATCGCACCTAAGGGTTCCCCCGACCCTTCAGGTAAACAAAAATGGAGAATTTGTTTGGATACAAGACGTATTAACAATCTCTTGGAAGACGTATCAAACGTCAACACACCTCTCATCGATGACATTTATCATGAGAT